GGGGGGTAAATAACCATACAATGCAAAACTATCAAAAATGTAAGAGTTTATAGCATAATGTTGAAATAACACTTTTACGATAAGAGTCATTTAAAAATGGCCGTAATCCACTTTGGTTTTGACTCTACAGTTGTCCCTCGATTAACGCGGGGGGTTACATTCCACCCCCACCCAGTTCAGAAAGCTTCAGGATTATTTGCAACTTTCCTGCCAGTTCTGAGTTTAATAGATAGCATAGATTTTTGTTGCAAAACTTTCCCTCCATTTGGCAAAAAGCAGCGGCTGGAAGCACTGTTGGCTTCTGGGTCATGTAGTTCTTTTTACTGGCAATACAGTGTAGGCTTACTGAAATAAAAATACAAAATGGTGGCGCCTGTCCGAAGTTTTTTTTTCTGTTAACTTTTTATCTCATGTCATCCCAATCATGTGAGTAATATTAAGGTTGACAATCATTGAAAAACTGCGTAAGAGCAAGTCTGCGAAAGTCCAACTGCGAAATAGCGAGGGACTATTGTACTAGGACTAGCCATCAGCTCATCAGAATTAAGCTTTATTTCTCTAGACTTTGTTCAAAGACGTATCTACAACAGGTAAGACAATACTTGTTCATAACATTTCCACAGTATTTTGCTCTAAAACTCCTGGGGTTTCACTTTAATGTTTTGTCTTTTTTTCTCTTATCAGTATTTTAAACATTCAAGTTAATTGTTGGTTTCTAGTTTTTTTTTGTTTTTGTTTTTAAGTCTTTAGACCTTAAAATATCTAATCTTGTGTTCTGAATACAGGCTGGGTCAAAGCTTACCAAAGTGAAGCTGATTGTGGTTAAAACAGCGAATCCATCCGTCCGTGCTCAAGTTGTTCCTCCTGCATCCGTCGCTTTGAGGTCTGTCTGTCATTTAGCTTCCATTATTTTTAATCACACATTTAAAACAGAAGAGGGAGCACCGTCTTCCTGATCTGACCCTTCTGAGGGCCCTGTCACTTTCTGTGTCCTTTCCTCAGTGATTACATTTTGTGCTCAGTGACTTGGGTAACGGATGAACGCCTCGCGGTTCAGTGGCTCACGAGGAAACAGAATCATGCCGTCATGCAGATCTATGACTTGGATGGAAACAAGTGGACAGAAGGAGAGGTATTTGTCCCATCTCTGGTTGTCTGCTTTGTCGGAAATCATCACCAGTTGTTTCCCAATAAATAAATAATATATAAATTGACTGTTTAATGCTAAATAAATGTGTTTATTTTTTTGCAGAAATTTGAGGAAATGAGCAACACAGGCTGGATTGGTTATGTAAGTTTCCAAAAGGTCACAGTTTAGTCTTCTTTGCTATTAATAACAATAAAATTATATTTAATTTTGCAGTATGTGCCCTCGTCTCCTTACTTTGCTGAGGATAAGCTCAGTTTCTACAAAGTTCTGAGTGACTCCCGTGGCTACAAACATATACATCATATCAAAAATGCAAGTATATTCAATAAATATATAAATTTCTGAAGTGGATAAATCAATTTCTTCAATCTTTGTTCTCTGATGAATTAATTGAGGCTTTTTCTTCAGGGTAGTGCAACGCCCGTTACTTCTGGGAAGTGGGAAGTTATTTACATATCAAAGCTAACAAAGGACGCCATGTAAGTGATGAAACTAAGCATCTTTAGGGAAACAACAGAAAACATGAAAACGCACATAAAATATTTAAACGTGACCTTTTTTTTACAGATATTTTGTAAGCAATCAGCATGAAGGAGTACCTGTAAAGAGAAATCTTTACAAGTAAGTATTTGTTTTGTTTATATAATAACCAGACCACCACTTATTATTTTTCTCATTTTTGTTTGTTTGTATTTTCCCCCCTTTTTTTAAACATATTAATGTTTATCTCTATGTATGTATCCAATAAAAGTGTATTCCAAAAGCCACATGGTTGCAGTCACAAATCTGCATACACTCATTGTGAGCATGGGGGTCATATATTTGTTTTTTTAATGATTTATTTAAACCATTCTTTTAACAGGATTGAATGATTTTGCAACTAACAACTTCATTATATTTTAAAAACAATACTTGAGTGTACACATTTAAATTTATTGTGGATTCTTTTTTCATTAATGCAGGGTCAAAATGACACATACAGGCTCAAATACATGCATACCCTGAGTATATACCAGAGTATAGTACCGGTATATTTTAGTTATGTGCAATATATATTGTACATTTAAGCTATATTACTACCTGTGAAATGCTTATTCATAGAAAGTCAACTTACTTGCACCATTATAGTCTACCATGTTGTTGTCTTGGACCTTATAAATATTATATTTATTTTTCACTTTTTGGTACTTTATTGTGTACCCTTATCGCTTGCATGCCTTAGTATTTCTTGTTTGTTTTGGTTGGTTTTTTAGCGAGTTGAATCAGTTCTCATCCTGAATATTTCATTGCATTGTTGACCCTGTGTTAACCTACATATGACAAATAAACAACATAACATATACCTACTAAGATATGGGTACATGTTAAGTTGCACCTCAACTAAATGCTTTTTATAGTTATCAATAACCTTCTGGCATAACTCTGGTTGGATTTTCGGTCACTTTTCTGGGCAGAATGAGTAGAGATCATTTAGATTGGTTGGCTTCCAGACCCCAGCTTTTAAACATGTCCCACACAATTTCAACTAGGTCGAGCTCGGGGCTTTGGGGAGGTCCTGTTGCAACACATGCACATGTCCAATCATCTAGCTGTTAATTTAGGGTGAGGTTAAATAATTTGACCGCTGCACCAGTGCCACAGCATGATTCTACTACCACCATGCTTCACAGCTGGTGCAGTATTTTGTCCTTGATCGTCATCTTGACTCCCTCTTCTTGTCATTGCTGCCAAATAGCTCAGTCTTTTTTTTTTTCTTGACCATAAAACTTTTCTCCAAAATCAGTTAGGCTTGTCAAAGTGTGGATTCTCACTTGTTCCCTAAAGTTTTGTTTTTAAAACTTACTGAAGTTGTGCATTGTAAACATCATCCCACCCAGAAAAAAGAATGTTACAAATGAGTCATCAAAAGTCCCAAATTAATGACATTCATGACAAAACTAGATGATTATAAGCTTGGCTCTGACTTGTATAGTGTATGTGGGTTTGTTTGTTTTTTCCATCAGGGTTATGATTGGAAGCAGCCCTTCAGCCCCGCAGTGCCTCACCTGTGACTTGTACGAGGACAGGTGTCAGTACAATTCAGCTTACTTAAGCTTTGACGCCTCTTTCTACCAAATGTACTGCTATGGTCAGTTACCCTTCCACGTGTTCATAGGCAATAACTCAAGCATGTAGGGAACATCTGTAAATCTGAGTTTAGACATCTCCCATCACACCACCCTCCCTCCACCTTTCACACACCACATCCTGAAACGTCATACAGAAGCTCAATATTTCTTTTTTTTTTTTAACCAAGGACCTGGATTGCCCCTCTACACCCTCAGGGATACTAGGGGCTCAGGTGCAGGTATGTGTTGGTTGTACTTTTTATTTTTATTATACAAATTTGCCATTGTAATTTTTGAGCCATATTTGGAGGCCACTATCTGCCAAGCTTAGCTAACTGAACATGTTTAATGTGTTTGGACTCATTACTGTGTGACAATGTGACAAGAACTCTAGTGAAGTTTGATGCACATTATTAGTCATGCGTGTTGTAGAAGTTGTGAAGGGTTGGTAATATTCAGGATGTATCGTTACCTTTGTTTAGAGCTCTCCGTTCTAGAAGACAACAAGGATTTGGAAAACATGCTCTCTGAATTCCAGATGCCAACAATGAAATATGGCACCTTGAAGATTGCTGGATTTGGTGAGACATACCTTTTTTAAATAATTTAGGCCATAAAACTCTTTTTCTTTAAATGCTGTATTAAATGGGTTGCTTTTTATAAGGCACAAACATTTGCTAATTAGAAAAAGCAAGATTTATCTTTGTACTTTTTCAAAAACAATATTTGGGGTTGTGTCTTCAAAAAAATATACTATATATTTGATCCAAAACTATCTCATATTTCAGTTAAAAGTACATTTTCTGTATATTTGGTCTAAACTTTTGCAGGTTCCTCCTTACATTTGTAAAATGAATTTTAAACTTTGACCATTTTTCCACAATGTTTGTAATTTGAACAAACGATGTCTGGCATGCACATTCAAATCATAAGTGAACAGAAAAGCCAGCCCTTAAACCCTGTTTTTTAAATTATTATTATTTCCTTACTACACAGATATACATATATTCAAGTGATATTTTAACAAACAAAAATCCTGCATGTGTGAATTCTCCTCAATAAACCCAATGAAGTTGTTTAAAATATCCTTCTATTTAGATTGATTAAAAACTGAGGAGTTCTGTGAAAATGTTATGAAAAACTAATATCCTACCTGTGGTAGATAGCCCTTGGAATGACTTTCCTTTGGAGACATAAAGTTTAACTCTGACCAGACTGAAAAGCTTATTGCTATTTCAAGAAAGGCCAAAATTAAAATAAATTCTAAATTGCTGCCATCTTAAAACAACTTCAGCCTCAAAGGTTTCACAGCTGTTCTTGTGAAATTACCTCATACTCTATTGCAAATGCTACAGCTAGCTGCTGCTGTTGATAATAGTGTCTGCTATCAACAAAAATATATATGCAAATAACTGTGTAATGTTAAATGGACCATGATGCAAAGGTTTATTGTTAGAATGTCAAGGTTCAAGATTCAAGGTTTGTCATTCACATCACATGTGGTACATGAGGTGGAACAAAATTGTGTACCCAAGACCCCAATTGCACCCAAAAATAGCAAATATATAAAGTATTTAAAAAAAATAGTATACAAGGATCTAAAATATACGCTAAACAATAAAAATGGTATATACAGTAATATGGTGTATTAAACAGCTGCCTGAACATGAGTCTGTAGTGACTGAATGGGTATGGATATAGCAGCTTATGGGTAAGTAATCAGCAGCATGGATAATCAGCAGCACAGATAACGTGTCAAATCTCCAATTAAAATGGCATTACAATGATTTTATTGGTTAGGGATTTATGTCTAACAGCTCCAGGGTTGAAGCTGTTCCTCAGTGTAGTGGTTAGAAAACTAGTGGTTCTACACTTAATGCTCTGCAACCTTCTGCCTGAGGGGAGCGGGGCAAAAAGTGTGTGCTGGCTGAGTTGGGTCCTTCATGATGCAGGTGGCCCTCTTCCTACATCTAGAGGATGGATGAAGATCCTGATGCATGCTCAATAATCCAGGAAGAAAAATCTTACAATGTTAAGTCAGTTCATCTGGATGTATTCTTTTTTTTGTTGTTGATATGTTTCGTCTTTTATCCAAAAGGATTCTTCATTCTGAAACCCTGCAAGAAAACTCAATCTTATAAATATTGGACCAGCAAGTTTGCTTCTGACAGCCAGAACTAGTTGTTCCAACAAAAGGAGAAGCTTACTATATAACCTTAATAATAGATTATTAGAGCCGTAACAATGTTATAGTGGACCAACCAGTTCAGCAGCAAACTGGTTGGTCCACAATAACAAGGTCCAACAATGTTCAGTCACGTTATCTGGACAGTTTCTGGACAGATGACCTGACTGGACATTGTTGGATCTTTTTAAGTTGTTTACTGAGCATGAACCTTGATGACTATAACAAGATGCTATTTATAAGACTGAGTTTTCTTGCAGGGTTTCAGAATGTAGAAGTCTTTTGGATAAAAGATGAAACGTTTCAACAAAAAATAATCCGTTCAGATGATCTGACTTAACCTTGTTAGATTTATTGTTGGACATTTTTTGGTATGAATATTTTTATTGTGTTTCTATATTATGGCTGAGAACGTAATTCACGCCTGCTTTGAGCCCAAAACACTCTTGTCTCAACCTGGAAGCTGCCTCACTGACTCGCAGTGCCTCCTTGGCGTTGTCGCCACGAGAACATGCCCAAAACTTGTTTTTTTCTCCATCTGGAGGCCGACTTGCTGACGGCCATGGATCATGTCTATGTATCTGACTGCAGCTGAAAATGAGGGAACACCCACTGGACTCTGCCGCTGTATAAAAGTTTGCAGAAGACCCAGTTCGAGGCTCATTCTGTGACCCGCTCCATGCATTATGTATCTATGTATATAATCGATCTTGAATGGGTCATTGCAAGTAAAATGCCGGTTAAAAAAATTCTGCTGTCGAGTGTGGTTCTTTTTGAGTAAGTAAGATAAGTGAAAATGTATTTTTCTCCAACATTTATCAAATACCATTTGGATGAGCTGCTATGAAACTTTTAGGATTAAAGCTTTCAGATGGCAGCAAACCACTTTGGTTTTGGACCTGCTCAGACAAACCATTAGCTCATCAGTCTGGTCCAAATCTGATCTCACAACTGAAACTAAACCACTTCATCCCTTTTTCCTAACTTTTCTTTAATTCAACAGAGCTTTGGTATGAAATGATGTTACCGCCAAATTTCAAGAAGTCCAAAAAATACCCTCTTCTTATTGATGTGTAAGTTAACGCCACTCCAAGTTTCATTCTATGCTTGTTCGAAACATACAGTAGAAGAATGGTGATTTATGGCACGTCTGTCCCTTACAGATATGGAGGCCCTGGTAGTCAGAATGTGAACTATCATTACAAGTTGAACTGGGGCACGTACCTCTCCAGTTCACACAACATCATTGTCGCCAGCTTTGATGGAAGGGGAAGTGGTTACCAGGGTGATGAAGTAATGCACGCAATCTACAAGCGCCTTGGGACGTTTGAAGTGGAAGATCAGATAACAGCTGTGAGGTGACGGTGACTTTTCCTCCACTTCTTACTTTTTTACGTTTGTGTACAATAGCCAATGAAGGTGTTAATTTCAAAACGTGTTTCTATTTTTCTTAATTCGGTATGATTTTATTTATGTATTTGGTACAGGAAATTCATAGACATGGGTTTTATTGACAAAGATCGAATTGCAATATGGGGTTGGGTAAGTCACATTGCATGACATATTTGCTTAAACCTTTGGCCTTCATTATTGAAGTCAGCTTTGTTTGTTAGCAAAATATAACACGTCACTGAATACATTTCATGAAACTTTCAGTTATCACTGAGTATACATTAAAAACTCCTTAACTTTTGGATTTAACATAGCATGCCACCACAGCTTATCAGTCTTGCCAACACAAACTGGATGTGGTTGTGTCAGATTTACAGATATTGAGGTAGTTTGATGTTGTAATAGCTGAATGTAACACATCCTGTGAGCGCTAATACATCCTTTAAGATCTTGCATGGGATTGCACCAATGTTTGACCAACTCTGTTATTTTTCAATATAAAATTGATTTTAGTTTAAAACTCGATATGTGTTCCTTCAAGGATCCCTGTCCCTTTCATTTGAAATATATTTAATCATTTTAATAAGCTTCTTAATATAATGCACTTCTTTCTTCAGTCTTATGGGGGTTACGTTGCCTCAATGGCCTTGGGTGCTGGAACTGGACTCTTCAAGTGTGGGATTGCAGTGGCCCCAGTAGCTAACTGGGAATATTATGGTAAGTGTTCAACAGTATCTACAAACCTGTTGGGTACAAACTTATTGTAAGAGCTGTTTGAAAAACTCTTTGGTGAGGTTTCTGCCCCAAACTTAAAGTCCTGCAACTCTATTGATTTAGTGTTGTATGGAAATGATCTTTTCTTTCTTTCTGTTTGTTGAATAAGTGTGGTTTATTAATGGGTTTGTGTCCCCTTTTACAGATGCTATATACACTGAGCGCTACATGGGAAAGCCCACGGAAAATTCAGATGCTTACAAAGTAAATATAGTCAAATCTAGTCTTTAAAATGCACAGATTTGGTTTCCGATGTGAAATGCTCTATTTTCTGTTTTGTAGAATTCTACGGTCACGTCTAGAGCAAAGAACTTCAAAAGTGTTGACTACCTGTTGGTTCATGGTACAGCAGATGGTACGCTCAGTCTTTTCTTGTTTTTGAGTAATCGTGAACATGTGGCAGCCCAATATCTCACCAGTGCACTTGGTAACAAAGTCAAGTCGTGCACAAATGGACTGTTTGCCTTTGATGAGAGCTCTGCTACATGACATTCAGTCACACGGAGGTTTGGTCTTCTCTTTAGACAATGTCCACTTCCAGCAGGCTGCGCAGATCTCCAAAGCTTTGGTGAACGAGCAAGTGGATTTCGAGGCAATGGTAAATATTGTCTCAGGGAAGTAGAACTAATATTGGCAATGATGATGTTGATTTAGGGACGGTTTCAAATGGAAGAAATCTGCCTTCAGTTATCACGTAAAGATAAAATGATTAAATGTGTCTCATTTAGGAACATAACATGGAAAAGGATCCTTTAGTCTGTGTACTAATAATTTTCATATGGTGTTAATTTCACAGTGGTACACTGACAAGGACCATTCTCTCGGTGGATCAGCTTATCAACACACGTACACGCTCATGAGCAACTTCCTGCAGAAATGCCTTCTTCATCCCAAATAGATGTGAACAAATGGACACCATTTTCAGTGAAACATCTGGTTAATAAATGTATATTTTCTATTTTTAATGATATGGAGAAATATCTGGGAGTGTTTAGCAATTTTTCCATTGCTGCATATGATTCAGTGGTTCGCAGCTGTGGATTTGTTTTTTTTTGTTTTTAAATGTGACATTTAGAAATAAAATACTTTTTTTTACACATTTTAAGTTGAAAACATTTTTATGGAACTGATAAGTTATACAAAACATATTTCTTTTTTGTTATTGTTTTGATAAAGAATAAAAAGACTTTTAAAACAACAAATAGATTAATACTTAAGTATTTTACTCATTTAAACATGATTACAAGTGCCTTTGTGCATAACAGTTCACTGTACTTTTAAAATAATACAGATTTTATAGATTTTATTTCTTTATAAGCAACTTTCCCCAAAAAATGACTTGATATTGTAAACACAAAAGCACCTTTTTGTTGTTCAAGTCAATTTATTGTCATTTCCATCACATGTGGTACATGAGGTGGAACGAAATTATGTACTCAAGGTCCCAGTTACACCCAACAATAGCAAAAATATAAAGTATATAAAGAAACAGTAAATAAGGATCTAAGAGATACACTTAACACTAATAATGTAAAACAATGCAGCGTAACAGCAGCCCGAACATGAGTCTGTGGTGAGCAGATGGGTATGAATGAATACAGCAGCATGAGATCAGCAGCATGGATAATCAGCAGCACAGATAAGTCACATATAAACAATTAAAGTGGCATTACAGTGTTTTTCTTTTTTGTTGTTGTTGTTGTTGTACATCACTGTGTGAGATAAAAGTCATCAACAAAATAAACTTAATTCCAACACTTGCTGGCAGGTTGATCTGTCAGATCGGAGGTCACGTTTGATTCGAACGCCTCCTAAGGCGACAGTTTGACCATCCAGCTGTCAGGTTGTCACTTTTTAACTAAAGTTAAACACGTTCAGGGGACTCAGCCGGAAGCTGACTAATGGTCTGAGAGCAGCAGCGAGTATGCTAACATTTCTGTGACAGAGGAGTGGAGGGTGTGTGTGTGTGTGTGTGGGGGGGGGGGGGGGGGGGGTGTCAGCTGAAAGACTTCTTACTCCCCAGGTTCCCTATATAAGACTGAGCATAGAGGGAGGGCACCTTGAAACAGCTTCAGGAGCCTGGGAGAAGAAGCAATCGACAGGAACCACCACCCCTTTCTCCAACAATCTTCTGAAAGGAGCGCAGGTGAGAATTTTAGCTGTTTTGTTTTCTGCAAGTAAAAATATCTTAACAGAAATTCATGCAAGTTTCATTTTTATATATATAAAGCAAAGAAAAAAAATTGGTTTATTTATTTCCTTTATTTTTTTTCCTCGTTCTTTAGAAGCTCAAACAATGAAAAGTGCTCATTTTCTTGCTGGATTCCTGCTCCTCATCATCATCCAAAGCAGCTGCCTGATGCCTGTCCAGGACGACGCAGACCGAACCGTCCTGTAAGACCCACTTCAACCCTATTCTTTTATAGCATTGTTACCTTAAAAATATATATATTGTGCACAGATTCCCATTAAAATATAATTTTGTTAGTTTATTTTCATATTTAGAACCTCTTATGTGATGTACTTTTGATCGTTTTCTCTTAATTTGTGTAATTATTGAGTTATTTTTCCTCTTCTCTAAAGAACAGTTCTAATTATCTAACACTGGTGTAGCATTATATTTTAAATGTACAGTTTTACAACTTTGTTTATATGGTAGTATTTGTGCACGATAAGCAGTACAGTAGTATTGTGTAAATAGTGACAGATCGATGAGATTGTTTAGACAAAAAAAAAAAAAAAGTTCTGATAAAACCTTCGAGGATCGGGGTGAAACGCTGAGATTTGACGAGCGAGCCAAGCTGCAGAGGGTGTGTCACGCTCAGCTGTTTCCAACATGTGTGCCTTTGCAGGTCATTGAGTGAAAACTCAATGTTCAATGATCCAATTGAGTTCCCAAACATGAAGAGGCACTCAGAGGGAACGTTTTCCAATGACTACAGTAAATACCTGGAGACAAGAAGAGCACAAGACTTTGTCCAGTGGCTGAAGAATTCCAAAAGAAATGGGTGAGTTTTAACCAGAAATTTGGGCTTAAACGCCTCAGATTGGGAATGTTTGAGATTAAGACAAGCCCTTGTTTGTCTGTTTCTGCAGGAGTTTATTCAGACGTCACGCAGACGGGACCTACACGAGCGATGTCAGCTCCTACCTGCAGGACCAGGCAGCCAAAGAGTTTGTGTCCTGGCTGAAGACCGGCCGAGGCAGAAGAGACTAAACTCCAGCTGAGCTCCTCTTGCTGCTGCCCCCCCCCCCCTTTTATTTTATTTTATCTATATATTTTTTTTCTTTTGTCGTTGAAAACAATGCAACTACTGTATTTTTCACTGATTCTATATGTTTCACAATATGTAATGCACTTTCCCCCCCTGTTAAAACCATTACGTTCCTAGAAGCTTTACTGGCATTCAGTGATTAAAACAAAATGTTGCAAAACACACCAGACTCATAAATATGGTTGCAAAATAAAAAAAAAATAAAATAAAAAAAAAGTTTTTCCCTATTATGTCATCATTTTTTTTTTACTCCTTTATGTTCCAATAAATTTGTAAAGTCATCACTGATTTCAAATGAAAGCGTGAGCTTCATTTCTTCCATCTTTGAACAGTTCAAATGTCCCCACATTAAAACAAAATAAATGATTAGCAGGGATCAATGCTTCTATGAGAGAATGCAAAAATGTCTTATCCACATGTTCAACACAATAAATGATTTATAAAGTCATTTCATTAAACTGTTGTTTTTCAGTGTGTCTAATACTCAATGTCGCCTTGATGTGATTCCACAATCAGCACTTGAGTCGTCGCTCCTTTAATCCTCCTTGCTTAAGGAGGCAGAACAAAGCCCAGCTAACAGTTTCTTCCCCGGGGGCGGACGGCGCTGAGGGATTCCTACGATGATGTGTTTCACCTGTCAGCTGCTCACCGAAGAAGGATTTCCCACTGATGATCCGACTGCACACCGAGGACCGTTATGTTAAATAAAAGGCAAAATCACATCAATCAGCTCAGGATGGGATGAGTGACTGGGTCAACACTTCTGGTTTTGTTTTTTTGTTTTTTCCTCCTGGCTTTGAGAGACAGCATGAGCCCAGTGGCGTGACGCGCTCTGGGATGTTCCACCTGTCTCAGCTGTCATCTGCAGCACGTCAAACCATCTGGTGATCGCTAAAGAAGAACCTCTGCCCACTTCTGTCTGCTTGCAGGCCAAATCTGTTGGCATGGGCTCGCTCCTCTCTAACAGGAGCAGACTAATGAAACTAAACAATGCAATCAAAGAGAAGAAAATGCAGTTCCTTACCAAGGGATCTATTATTTATTAATTTGGATGTTTTCCTTAATTACTGCCAAAGATGATAAAAGTTTATATATGTGCATAAATGTGCTCAGAAGATTATCCTGCTACAGATGTGGAAAGATGTTTTGAAATATGACTCGTATACGAGTCACACTTTCATTGCTGCATTTAACAGATTCTAAATTCACAAGAAATTCAAAGGAAGTGAAATGTGTCAAACATCTATAAGTCAGAGATTTCCATCCGTTTATTCTTGGACATTCTTACACAGGAATTTTTTATTGCGTCAAAAGATTTGCTGACACGTTCATGCTCGAGGACTGTGAGCATCACAGCAAAATCTTCAGCTTTAACGACGTTTATTAAGTGAATGAGGAGCAAGTTGTGAAGCGCTCTGTCAAAAGAGTAAAGGCACCATTTAACTCCAACCTTTGGATATAATCTACTGTAGATTAAAAACATGTCATTTTCTTGTTAAGAATGCATTTTTTTATTTTACCTTTTTTATATATATATATATATATATACACAAATGTGACTTTTTCAACATAATCCAAGAGAATGATGCAGTTTTTGTCTGTTGCAGGAAGACTATTAAAACCTTGTACCTTGCATCTTTCATACTTTAATTATTTGCAGGTTTTTTTTTTAGTATCCTCAGTTAACAGAGCTTTTTATTGCCCACCACTCAAGGGTAAAAGATGGGCGATAATGTTTTTGCCTGTGTTTGCAATAATCTATCTATCTATGTCTCAAAATTCCCCTCTGGGATAAAGTAAGTAAGTAAGTAAGTAAGTATAAGTAAGTATAAGTAAGTATAAGTAAGTAAGTATACGTAAGTAAGTATACGTAAGTAAGTATAAGTAAGTAAGTATAAGTAAGTAAGTATAAGTAAGTAAGTATGTATAAGTCAGTCAGTCTGTCTGTCTGTCTGTCTGTCTGTCTGTCTGTCTGTCTGTCTGTCTGTCTGTCTGTCTGTCTGTCTGTCTGTCTGTCTGTCCGTCCGTCTGTCTGGCCATCCGTCTGTCCAACCATCCATCCATCCATCCATCCACTGTACAAACTTTAATTAGAAAGTAACCATTGGACCATCTACGACCAACTTTTGGATTCAGTACAATTCAAGATGGCTGCCTCAGTCAACACAAAAATGACTATATCTTGGTCACTTTTAAAGAGTTAAGACGTTGTTTAAATCCACTTTAATATGAACACTTAACAAATGTAAGAAGTTGAGAAAAAGTTTAATCTCTTTGCTTTTTTCAGGTTAGTAGATTTTTATTCACTTGTCTAACAGATTATTTTAAACAAACATATTCATGGTAATTCAAATAAACAAGACAAAATAATAACGGCCTTAAAAATTTATTATAATTAGCGCATGGACATAAAAAAATCTTTCTAAAAACTTAAAAACCATCTTTCCAAAATTAACATTTATTTTCCTTTCAGGAGTGAAGCGACATTAAAATATTGGTCGGGGTTAAACAACTTGATAATACTTTGTGATTATTAACTCAGTAGATTGTATACAAATATTATACTAACAATGTCAGCAGTACATTGCCACAGAAACCAAAATACTGCAAGTTCATATTATAACATAGTATGCATCAGACACAACATACATACAATATACCACAAAAATATATATAAATACTTAAAATGTTTCTTACATTAAAAGGGCAATACTAATAGCAGAAAGAGCTATTGCATTTGGCTTAAAAATTGTGCAATATAGTTCAGATTTTATTGTCAGACATCAGAAATTTGTGCTTCAGCAGATCACGTTTAAAAACTGCTTGGATTCAGAAAGTTTCCGAGTAACAACACGGCAGAAGTTGCAGCGATTTGTTCTCGAGAAGAAAATTTGAGAACGGACACGTTTCACATTTATCCACTTGCACATAAAATTCACGAGACAAAAGTTGGAGGAATGAAAATTGTGAGTTCAAAACGCTGAGTTGTTTCTGACGCACAGAGTGAAAAATACTCGACTGTTCACACCGTGAGTTATTTCTTCATCTTATATTGCTCAGTTTGCTCCTTCTTAAAAAAAAAAAAAGATATAAAAACAGCCAATAAGTGCTTTTTAAAATGTTTTCACATGATGCCAAGAAATATCCTTACAGCTTTAAAGGACAACAAATAAAATATATATGTAAAAATGTCAAAAATAAAAAGCCTTTAAGCAGAATGGCTTGTTTTAAAATGTATTTCTACAAAATTTGTAGCAGTTTTATGTTGCTTTTGAATAAAGAAACAAAACAAATGTTTTTCTTATTTTTCATGTAAAGTAGAGAAATAAGCATAAATAATTGTTTATTAATTCTTCAAATGTTGGTGTTATCAGTTGCAGGTTGTCATTTTTTTATTATTATTATTATTAAATAAACCAGTATTGTTAGCAAATAGATTTTGTGCTTAAAATGATTTTTCTGCATTTTAATGTTCAAGTTCAAGTAGATTTTATTGCCAATCACATCACATGTGGTGCATGAGGTGGAACAAAATTGTGTACACAGGGTCCCAGTTACATCCAAAAATTATAAAATGTAAAAACAAACAGTAAATAAGGATCTAAGATATAAACTAAGAAATATGTTAAACACTAATAGTGCAAAGCAACACGCCGAACAACAGCAATGACCCTCCTGCTTAATTCTCTTAATCGCTCCCATTCCAAGTGTTTCCAAAAGACCCTTTTGACATCTCATCTGTGATGTTGATAACTGGGATCCCTCTGTCGACACAGAAGACAGGGTTCAGTACATGAAACAACTATGTACAAAAACTCAGATGTTGATTCAATTTGTAAACTCTTTACAGAGTTACTTACTTGTACCCCCCTAATGGCACCTGCACTACCCCGTCATCTTCCGCAATGCTCTGCTCGTCCTCCTGTGGGTGAACGAATGGTAAGATTTCAGTGTAGACACTGAAATAAACTTAATGCAACCTGCTTGTACATGAGGACAGTGTTGGGTTATGAGTTCAGCATCACCTCCTCTGCATCCTCAAGCTTTTTCTTCTTGCTTTCCGGCATGAGATCATCCAGCCAGCTCAACTCTCTCTTGGTGAAAAAACAGTCCATTAGTTTCCTAATGAACACCAAAGCTAGCACCTGCAAAAGAAACAAAAAAAAAACTGATGCAAAATCCCCAAAGGCATGTGATTTAAAACTTTACGGGTCTGTTATCCAAAGGAAAATAATGGCTGAACCTTTGCAGAGTTTAAAAGGGACTGACAAGAGTGCATTAATGAGGATGGATGTGGAACCAAAAACTCAAAGTATACTAAAAGCTTTAAGTACAAGTTTAAAAATATATATATATATATTGCAAAACTGTCTGCTACAAAATTCAAGTTAAATCAACTTGATTTTATTGACACGTTAAAGGCATTACGGTGCAAATCAAAACAGAGAAGAAGCCTAAAATAAATCAAAGCCAGTTTAAAATCTGTGTGTGTTCAACGCAAAAGATGAGGTCATTTGTTATTGTAGATCACTCCATCAGACAAAGGTGAGAAGGAGAAGGGGGGGTATTTTGAAGTTGTCTGGCTAGAGTTCTTTCAGAGTGGGTAGCTTTGACCCCCCCACCCCCCAGGTATTATGAAGGCAGAGATAATGGAGGTGACAGGGGAGGAGGGTGGGAGGATTCACTATCTTAGAGTTACGGAATGAGATCTTTTGGACTGTTGCTTAGGTGTGGTCTTGTACAAAAAAAATTATTGTTACTTTTACTTTGTAAAAAAAAATAAAAATACATTGATTTAGCAGTCTACTCCAAATCTGAAGTTTTTTTATACACTTTTCCTGCAAATTAGCAATGAATTTAATTTTTATCCCGAGTTTTTTATGTTATGGTTTTGTTTTGTTTTTTTAACAGAAAGCTTAAATAATGCTGTGAAGTTGGCTGAAACATCTGGACTGAGAACAGATTCTTCCAAACTAACTGCGTTACATACCCAGTGAATAAAAATACACCTATCTGACATGTTGATGATACGTAAAACTTAATCAAATGTAACAGAGAGAGACACTTTGACTCCCTTTGTGTTGCTTCACACGGCAATCTTGTGAGATGTCACAATAGTTACTCACCATCATGGGAAAGACAATGGCAGCCCTCGAGGTCTTGATAACCCACAGCAGAACCAGACAGCTGAGCTGGATGATGGTGAAGAGGTGCACCTTCCTCAAGGGGACGTGGCGTAAGTAGATGAAGTCTGGCTGATGTTTGGTTGGCATGCCGAACAACGTGAGACGATCATAGAACTGCCACGGATACAAGAAAAACAACCCAGAGTGCTTTTTTTTATTTGGAAAATCAAACACGTGTTCATGTGTGAATGAGAAAATATACTATTTTGCTTTAGAATCACATTATTATAATACAAAGAATGATACAATACAGGTCCTTATCAAAAAATTAGCATATTATGATAAAGGTCATTATTTTCCATAATGTAATGATAAAAATGAAACTTTCATATATTTCAGATTCATTGCACACCAACTGAAATATTTCAGGTCTTTAATTGTTTTAATACTGATGATTATGGCATACAGCTCATGAAAACCCCAAATGCCTGTCCCAAAAAATTAGCATATCATGAAAAGGTTCTCCAAACAAGCTATTAACCTAACCATCTGAATCAACGACGTAACTCTAAACACCTGCATAAGATTCCTGAGGTTTTTAAAAACTCCCAGCCTTGTTCATTACTCAAAACCGCAACCATGGGTAAGACTGCCGACCTGACTGCAGTCCAGAAGGCCATCATTGACACCTTCAAGCAAGAGGGTAAGACACAGAAAGAAATTGTTGAACGAATAAGCTGTTCCCAGAGTGCTGTATCAAGGCACCTCAGTGGGAAGTCTGTGGGAAGGGAAAAGTGTGGCAGAAAACGCTGCACAACGAGAAGAGGTGACCGGACCCTGAGGAGGATTGTGGAGAAGGGCCGATTCCAGACCTTGGGGGAACTGCGGAAGCAGTGGACTGAGTCTGGAGTAGAAACATCCAGAGCCACCGTGCACAGGCATGTGCAGGAAATGGGCTACAGGTACCGCATTCCCCAGGTCAAGCACTTTTGAACCAGAAACAGCGGCAGAAGCGCCTGACCTGGGCTACAGAGAAGCAGCACTGGACTGTTGCTCAGTGGTCCAAAGTACTTTTTTCGGATGAAAGCAAATTTTGCATGTCATTCGGAACTCAAGGTGCCAGAGTCTGGAGGAAGACTGGGGAGAAGGAAATGCCAAAATGCCAGAAGTCCAGTGTGAAGCACCCACAGTCAGTGATGGTCTGGGGTGTCATGTCATCTGCTGGTGTTGGTCCACTGTGTTTTATCAAGCGCAGGGTCAATGCAGCTAGCTATCAGGAGATTTTGGAGCACTTCATGCTTCCATCTGCTGAAAAGCTTTATGGAGATGAAGATTTCATTTTTCAGCACGACCTGGCACCTGCTCACAGTGCCAAAACCACTGGTAAATGGTTTACTGACCATGGTATTACTGTGCTCAATTGGCCTGCCAACTCTCCTGACCTGAACCCCATAGAGAACCTGTGGGATATTGTGAAGAGAAAGTTGAGAGACGCAAGACCCAACACTCTGGATGAGCTTAAGGCCGCTATCGAAGCATCCTGGGCCTCCATAACACCTCAGCAGTGCCACCGGCTGATTGCCTCCATGCCACGCTGCATTCAAGCAGTCATTCATGCAAAAGATTCCCGACCAAGTATTGAGTGCATAACTGAACATGATTATTTGAAGGTTGGCGTTTTTTGTATTAAAAACACTTGTCTTTCATTGGTGGGATGAAATATGCTAATTTTTTGGGACAGGCATTTTGGGTTTTCATGAGCTGTATGCCATAATCATCAGTATTAAAACAATTAAAGACCTGAAATATTTCAGTTGGTGTGCAATGAATCTGAAATATATGAAAGTTTCATTTTTATCATTACATTATGGAAAATAATGACCTTTATCATAATATGCTAATTTTTTTAGAAGGACCTGTATATTGCTCAGAAAGAACAAATAAAATACACTTTAATGTATTTAAGGGAGACTTTTTGCATCTTTGTTCAACTCTTTTTATGTGTAGTTGTGCAGTTTAAAGGTGGTTCAGGAAAAGGATATTGCTTCATTTAACTGGTTTGACTGAACACTGAGTCAGACCAGATGCAACTGGATCACCCAAAACAGATAAGGTGCAAGGTGTGAACTGTGTCTACATCTGTTAGGGACATGTGGTTTTAAGGAAGAAACAAGTGTGCAATTAATTGTGTGAAACTTTGAATCACACTTTGGTACCTGAATTCCTCTGAGAGAAGAGGCTCCCATGTAAAGGAATACTCCATACAACACAGGCATTGGAATAAACTGAAAACAGAATAGTTTTAGTACAGCAACTCAGGAATGCTTCAGATCACACAGGACATAACTGTGATCGGAACTGCTCAAGGACACGTCACGATAGTGTCTCACCTTAAGCACTGACGTCATGAAGACGGAGCAGCCCATCAGGGTGAAGATCATGAGGCCTGTGGCGCGCTGCTCCCTGATTCCGAGGAACTTGGGCTGCTCCCCAGGAGCCGAGCACTCCGACTCCAGTTTCAGGCTGTTAACGTGGGAGATGGAGAGGACGGTGGCCGCTACAAACCACGGCAAGCCCATCAGAGAGCACACGCCCAGCATCACCCCGACCATCAGCAGGTCCAGGTGGTATCCACATCCTTTCTGAAGAAGGAGAAACAGATTAATAAAAACGAGCAATTCTTTAATCTTGACGCCACATAAGCGATGCCAAGTCTTCAACCAGAGCAGAAAAACACCTTGAGTTTGTTTTCCTTCCTGTTGATGATGACAGCAGTAATCTGCTGGTCCATGAATATGAGGATAGTACAAAGTAAAGCTGGTATGAGCGTAATGACTGCCGTCCACCACGGGTTGGGCCCTAATGGGTTAATAAACCATCCTCGATCATCTCTGGTTGGCTGTTAAAACAATAATGATTTAGTTTAGTTCACTGGCACCTTCTGAGTAAATTTCACATTAAAACAAGTCTACAGTGTCTATTGAACAAAACTTGATGTTGTGCTTACCTTAAACACATTGGGAACCTTTAGTTTTGGAGATGGAATCCCTAAGGCATAGTCAACTAAGACCATGGTGAAAATAGTGATGAAAACAGCAAAATCACTGATGATAGAGCGTACCTGAAAGAGAAGGCACCTGGTGAAAGTGACATCAATACAATTCATGATTTATTACAGTCACAATAGTTATCAAACAGTGATCAAATCCCCCAGCTGGTCTGTTGCTCGCGGAGTTACGCAAGGGTTGATTCTTGGTCCTCTTTTATTTAATTCGGATATTCTTCCACTTGGTTCCAATGTTAAACTATTTTAAATCTGTATTTATGTTCAGCTGACTTACTTTGTATTAATATTTTTATGTATTGTTTCTCTTTTACCCTTAACTTTAAACTTGGTGGTATTGCTAGTGTTTCGCATGTATCATATTTGTCTGTATTTGAGCAGCAGCTGGTCATTAAACTTTTGCTAAATCTGACATGATGCATTGGTCTCTTTATGAATGTTTTTTGTGCACACTCCTTACTAAATAAACTTAACTGAGCTTAACATTTTTTTCACTTGGCAGCACGATGGCTCAGTGGTTAACAATGTTGCCTTACAGCAAGAAGATCCTGGGTTCAATCCCCGGTTGGACCTGGGATCTTTCTGTGTGGAGTTTGCATGTTCTTCTCGTACTTGCATTGGTTTTCTCCGGGTACTCCGGTTTCCTCCCACAGACCAAAAACATGCACGTTATGCTGCCTTCAGGCCCAGGCCTCCCTTGCAAACGAGATCTGTGATCTCAATGGGATTTTCCTGGTTAAATAAAGGTTAATAAATAAATCACTCCTATGCTGACAATACACTGTTATACAAATCTGTTTCTGTCGACCTCAGCCTTGTAATTATCCTCATTTAAATCCTAAAACAGCAACTGCTGTAGGTTAGCTGAAAATGAGTGTGTGATTTCAGCTTGCACTTTTCATTTGAATGGAAAAAGCTCCTCAGATGAGCAGCAAAACATCTTCTGCGAACAGAAGAGAAGTCTGGTTGCCGTGTTTTAGAATTGTGAGGATTTGCCATTTCCTGGAACACTGAGAATATACACAAACCTATTATAATCTAATGTTTGATGACATCTTAAAACTAAACGAGGAAAAAGCCAATATTATTTTGCTAGATCTTGATTCTTTGACTCCTCTGGTGGCCATGTCAGAAACTTATGTAAGTGCATCTGTAGATTCTGAACTCAGTTTTCAAAAACTTATTTGTGATGCAGTAAATCCAAACATGCTTAATTTAAATAATTTTAAAGCTAGACTTGGAAAAACAAATGTTTTTAGTTCTAGTTGATTGGTTGCTGTTACACACTTTTTACTGGAGTAGCAAAACAAGAACCAAATAGTCTACATCGTATGCCTCAGACAGAGTGTTAACTAATACTGAAAGTTGTGAAAATATCACTTTTATCGCTTCAAGTAAAACATAAATTTGGTTTTAAAACTGGTATTTTGGTAAACTGTTTGGCTCGCTCTTATGTTATTTAAATGTACAATTATGGCACCTTGTTGTGATACCAAAAATACATTCAAAATTAGTCAATATGGTCTGGAACCTTCTACAGAACTCAACATTGTCCAGTTTTACTGTAAAAGTATTCTGAAAACGTATTTTCTATTCATATTTTCAAATTGCTATTGTGATTTTGTAATACTGCATGTTTTTTATGATCTGTACTTCTTTTTTTCCAAGCACATAGATATCACCATCACATATTTCCTTTAGAACATGCAATACTCATATATTATCACTAGAGGGTGCTGCTGCACTGTGCTGCACAACCTTGACTCTGTACAACAGTAATGATGTTGCTTTTGCACAATACCTTTGTGGGAAAATAATTGCTGAACTTGAACTCCTTGAGGAATGCAGACATGATGACTGTAGAAAAGAAGAGAATGACACACCAGAAGAGAACATCAGGAACGTACGGTCCGTGAGGGCCGCAGGCGGTGCCTACAAACTCCCCTCGCTTTTCAACGCAGTCCTGCAGGAAAAGAGTGGAGCGGAAACATTCAGAATTATTGGATTAGCAATAAAGTGACAGAGTTCAGGAGACTTTTTTTTTGGCCACAGAAAAAAGTGGTGCTGATAAAGTACATTTACACTGATCTGCAGTATTAAATCTGACATAATCTAACATAATCCAGCCCACATGTCCTAAATCTCGTCTCGTCTCTTCCATCTGGACAAGCAGGCCACTTTAAGATGAGAAGCAAACTGTCCTTTTTTCCCCATCTAGTCTTTTAGTAAAATTATTGTGACATGACACATGTTTGTTTCGTCGTCCTGCTGCTGTTAGCACTTATTTACCGGCACAGAGTCGTACCTTTACCTCCAGGGCTTCCCAGTAGATTTCAGAGGCGGTGATGTTGTTGAGCTCCCAGAATTTTAGGGTACCATTAGAGGGGTCTGAAGGCTCGACGCAGGAGCATCTGTGGCAGCGAATCAATGTATCGATAGTTAATCATTCCTGTGCTTTATTTTAACTTCGATAACTAAAATGTATATTTTCCAATGTGATTACTTTTCATCACTTAAAAATAATAATTCTTACGAGTGCGTGGTGAGTTTGTCCAGGTTGTTGTTTTTATTGAAGGGGTAGATTTCTCCCAGGTGGATCAGTTTCTCCAAAGCTTCATATATGAATATGATGCAGATGAGTGAGGCAAACGCTTCCTCTGTGAAACGTGTGATGTAACAAACAAGAGAACTGGCATCTGTAGCCACCAGCAGAATACAGAGGAAAGACGTCCACAGGCCGATGCAGGTCCTCAGCGACAGATATGACAAGCCGTACTCCCTACACGGAGATTAACGGAGAACAAATGTGATTATTTGTTGTTTGAATTGTGGCAGATTGGAGAAAGTCATCATCACAAGTGACATTAGATGCTCAGAGAATGCATTGCAACGCAAGCTCATTCAACAGCAGAGAGTTTAAATCCAAATTAATGTCGTGTACGAATAAAATCGACCAGGGAGTCGTTCAGTTTGTCATTTCGTTTTAGAACAGCGTACTTGCAGAATTTAAACAGGATCTTTTCAAACACGAGCACGGGGCCTGTGCTTCCCAGAATGGTGAGGGGCTGCCCAGCAAACAGCGAGTAGGCCATTCCCGTCAGAGAGGCGCCAAACAGGGACTCAATTGCACTCTGGAAGAACGAAAAGAACACAATTTTACTGAAATAAATATTTACATTCTGTTTGGGGAGAGAGCTCAGCTCCTACAATATGAGAAGAAACATTTCAACTCACTATTCGTCCTTCCGTTGCTTCGCCCAACAGTCCTCCAAAGGTGATGACAGGAGACATGCAGGCACAGTAGAGGAATAAGAAAGAGGCGACACACTGCAAACTGATAGCATCAGTGTAATCTGACAGGTAGTGGGGGATTTTGCGCTTGATGTCCAAAAACAGACCGCCAAACCACCTGAAAAACAGAGGAATAAAATTAAATGCCGGTGTTTGTGTTCGCTCTCTCGTGAACAGAACCAGAAACAAAACATTCCCTTAATTTATTCTTCCTGGTTTGGCTCCTTCCTAAAATTGTGCTGTTGGTTTGGTGTGAAGATGGAAAAGTCTAGCTGCAAATAGACATCAGACAAAAAAGACGTTTCTATGGAAACCACTTCAGGACTACAGCTCAAGTTTCCACTAAAATAAGCATTCAGCAGAACAGTATGTGGAAGATGTTTTTTTTTTTTTTTTTTTTCCAGTTTGATGGTTTGATTTTAATCGGGATTTGTGTGCATATTGAAAACTAATCACAAAAATTAAATAGAAAACTGAGGAGACATTAACACAAGATGGGGATCAGACTTTTTTTTTTTTTTTTAAAACACACTAATTCCTGTGTAATTTTGTATTTTACCTCCCAGTTCGCTGCAGTTCTGGACCACCATGGCCACCGTCTTCATCCTCCTCCTCACCCTCCACTAAGCTATTTGGTAAAATGTTGCTTTTCTTTCTTTTTTCCTGTTTAACGAACAACGCCACGTTGGTTTCAGACAATGTATTTGGTGACAAACGTCACCAGAATTAATGCAAACAAACTATATCAACCACGGTTTGTACAAACCTGAGAGGGTACATTTTTTGGTGGCTCTATCCGTATGGAGGGATCCCATTCTCCTGGAGGCAGGACCGTCACTTGATCAAGAAATTCATCAATACCAGCAATCAGATCATTCCGGTCTTTAGCTTTATAGGCAACATCATGAAAAACCTGCAAGAGAAAACACATTATACAAAACTTAATGTTTAGCCATTGTTGTTTTTTCTATTAATAAGATCATGCCCTGCCATGAAGCTTGAGTTCTAAGCAACAGTTGCAAACAAAAATACAACTACAACAAAATTTTACAGATATAGAGCAAACATTTTAAGCTGTGGTACTGATGCAAACACATACTGTGAGCACTGACTGATTACACAAACTCTAAAACTTTGGCATTAATTGTTGGAGTGTTAGCTAAAGATCTCTTGAACCAGGTGACAGATTTGAATAAAACAAGAGGGCAGTAAATACTGGAGGTACATCTATAACCAGTGGTGGGATGTAAGAAAGTACAAGTACTTCGTTCCTGTACTTAAGTACATTTTTTCATGTATCTGTACTTTACTTAAGTAGAGTTAAATGTGAGTAGTTTACACTTTTACTCCACTACATTTTACATTAAGTATATGTACTTTCTACTACACTACATTTCTATAATGTGCGTTGTGTCACACGTTACATTCATGTTGTTTTTTTTTTTATTTGTTCGTTAGTTTGAAAGTAACCAATGGCGAGAGGAGTTGGTCCATTGAATCACAGCAAAGTTGACAGGTATCATTAGACCCCCATTCAAGAAGAGATGTTGCGCCAATGATGTATATTCTAGTATATACATAATTGAGCTGGGCACACCCAAAATTGATTCCACCGTGGAGATCAGCCAGAAGATACACACCACCCATAGCTTTATTGAAAGACTATTGAAAGACTAAAGACTGTTCAGTACACCAGGACAGATTCTCCCGAAAGAGCCAGACTGGACTCATAAAACTTTGAAAACCAACTTCTTTTGAACGTGAACAAGAAATTCTTGCTGCAATATTAAAATGTGTCAGTTCATGGGATGTTAGGAGACAAGAGATGTCTCCAAATGACTCGACACTCAGGTCCAAGTTTTGAAAATGGTGTCAGGAAGTTAAAATATTGTTCAGTATTGACCCATTACAAGGTTGAATAGACAGTATTTTAACTAGAGTTGATGACAAACTGGAGTTGAAATGATCAGATATTCCTTTGTTAGGTCTAATGCTCCTTTTTTTCAGGCAGACAGTTTTTACTTAAACTTGTTTACTGCAGTTAAAATGACACACTGGTTTTGTGTTAAATAAAAACTTTCAAAGATATAATCATTCCTCTTTCTTATTTTGCCTAATGACTTTTAACTCATGCATGAAATTCTGACGCTCAGAATTAAGTCCAAGTGTGAACTGTGCCATAATAAAAACATGTATTATCTGCAGCATTGTTCATTAAAACGGCTCAACATTATTAATGTATTACAGAAAATATACATATACTTAATGATACTGTAGACCATTGCAGTAGGTAATACATTCAGCAAGTACTTTTAATACTTAAGTATTTTTAAAAGCAAGTACTTGTCTACTTTTACTCAAGTAAAAACATAAATGTGGTACTTCTATTTTTACTGGAATACATTTTTGCCTGTTTATTTGTAATTTTACTTAAGTACAATGTTTGAGTACTTTCTCCACTATCTACAACCGATCTACACATTGAGTACATAAACTGCACATATTTTACTGAAGCAGACCTGACCTTAAAATGTGAAACTTTCTAAAGCAATGACATCATTTCTTGGATCACTTTTCAGGCTTAAAACAATCATTATTTCTGGCGGGGTACGATAACCATTTTGGACTGTTTTAAGACTAAGAAAGGATTAACGAAGCCTCATCTGAGTACAAAATATGATATATACAATTACTTTGATTGCTACAACATTTATCAAATACAACATTTAACTTATGTAAACTTCATTTAAAACTTGCAGATCTGTAGAGTATTTAAACACATTTTAACAAATACAGATACAAACTCCCCATTCACAGACCACAAGACTGAATCCTGGTAAATCACACTGTTGCAAAAAACCACATCTACAACTGGTTTCTGCATCCAGCAGCGCTTCTAATTGTGCATAAAATTATGCGTAAAGAATGTTTTTCCTGTCTTCTTGTCTTGATGAACAACAGAATAAAGTCTGGTCAAACAAGAGCACATGAGGACTGACTAACCGCCAAAAGCACGTTGTGAAAGCTCTGAGCTGTGCTTCACACATAGAAAATGTTCCACCACTTCAAGGAAGTGAACTGAGTTCTTCTGGACTGTGAATTTATGCAACGTGCAAAAATGTTGAACGCAACACATGATGCATCAAACTGTACAGGTATACTAAAACACAAGAAACCCTTCAGGATGAAAACATTTGCATGTGTCTCTAACCTCGTCTGTCATAAGAGTTGCTATGGAGCGTCCAATCTCGTGATACTGAGCCCCCCGACCCAGTGGTCCTAAAATAATAAACAGGAACCTGGATGCAAAAAAACGAAAAGAAAGAAAGAAAAGCAGTTTCAGCTAGAAAAGTTTGCACTTTCTGCAAAAGTGCAATTTGACATTTGAGTGATGAAAAACTATTGAAAACAGTGAAAGTGAAATGAATAGAAGAAGAACAATAATAAGAGCAACAGCAAGAAAAACAAGAAGAAGAAGAAGAACAAGGATAATATAGTTACACTCGTGCTTATATTTTTACTAGCCTTGCTATATTGCATATGTCACTTTACCTTCATATCAACATCAAGGACTTCATACATATACTGTGTACATTCACTTCATATGTTGCTTTGTCACTTTACTTCAAAGGTCAATGTCAGGACCTTCGTACTTATATACTTTTTATACTTTTTATATTTATGCTGCTATACTTACAATTTAGGATAGTACCATATTTTTATTATTTAATTTTATGATCATGTTTATTAAATGTTTAGTGGTTACTGTTGCACCAGGGGTCTGAGAGTAATGAATTTTCAATCCTGTGTATGTCCTGTATATATTGCAGTTTTGACAGTAAAGTTGACTTTGACTTTAACTTTGAAGAAGAACAAGAAGAAGAAGAACAAGAATGAGAAGAAGAACAAAAAGAAACACGAGAAGCAGAAGGACAGACTGAAATACCAGAAAGATATATAAAGATTAAAAGCGAGGACAGAAAGACAAAGACAAAATAGGACACATGAGGATGTTTAAGGACAAAAATAAGACCAAAAAAATGGCACAGAAAGGACAAAAGGTGTACCTAAAAAAGATTTAAAAAAGGAATAGGAGGAAAAAATGGCACATAAAAAGACAAAAATGACACATGAAGGTAAATAAAGCCCATAAGGAGACTAAAAAGACAAAAAGGGTGTATAAAGAGATTAAACGAATGCATAAGAAGCTATAAAAAATGAAGCACAAAAATTCAAAAGGACTCATAAGAAAACAAGAAAAATCTAAAACGTGACCAAAAGCAGACAAATTAAAACATAAACGGATAAGAAAGTTTAAGGAGACACAAGTAGAGCAAATATGTTAAAGTATATTTCAAAGAGCATGAAGGTTTTAAAGAATCTGAAGAGATTGTGATGCAGTTCAGTATTTGATTTTTTTTTTTTTTTAAACACATAAAAATTACTAAAACATAAAGTTGTAACATGTCCTGACTGGGCTGAACGTTTTGATGTATGAACAGCTAAAATAGCTGAAGTAGTAAAACATAAGGAATGAAACTATAAACCAGCAGTGTGAACATTGAATTAACAATTACACAATTAACTGCTTAACGAGAGACGATGAAAAAATGACACATTTTAATTCCCAACTACAAAAATCTGCAGTTTCTTTTTTTAACGTCCAAGTCAAACAGGGCTTAGATAAGCTGCGGTGACCTTGTAGCAATCGGGACTTCAGCCAGCCCGCTGAGCAGAACCGCAGGGGAGAGACGGACAAACGCCACCACCGCCTTGTTCAGAAAGTCCAGTTCTCCCACCAACACATTACACGCCTCGGCTCCTGGTGGAATCTTCTTCATGAAATGTAGGTCTATCTGAAAAAGAACGCAGGGTGCAGCGTCACATAATGTTCTGACTCCCAGTCCAGAACACCTAAACTGCTTTGCCATTTAAAAAAAAATAATAATAATTTAAAAAAAATTAATAAATACAGCATGAATTCATGTGAAAAGGTCATTATTTATTGTTCATTCCCACATTAATCTCCCAAATGTATGAGTTGAACTGACTTCTCCCCTGACCACAGTCCAGCTGTGGAGGATTTGTTGGTCCTAACAGCAAATAGGTCACAGATGTGTGAATAAAAATAGTACAAAAAATTATCTAAGTACAGATGTTAGTCTGATCTGTTACATAATAGTTCATAAAATTCTTAGTAAGCTTTCCAGCTATAAAACTGAACCTCCTTCTGTGTCTCTGTCTGCTTTGACTCTTTGAAACAACTGAACTATGTAGCTGTGAGTATTTTGGACTATTAAAAACGTTGATGATTTTGGTGATAAATATATGAGATTGATAAATATTCACTGCAGTGTTTGTTCCTGGACAGAGATCATAAAGAATTTATAGTTTGATGGGTCACCGTGATTTGTATAAAGTAATATAGCAACGGTTCTAAATAAAGTACAGCTTGTTTAGTCACTAAATACAAACCTGCAGTTGTAAATATAGACACTTCCTTATCATTTCAACGAACAAATGAATTATAACACACCTAAAACTGTTTAAGCATTGACTGACACAAAATTATTAGTTTATAATAAATGTTTTAATGGCGTTTTTGTTTTCTTGAACTGCATGTGCTTCTCTGCACTGACTGACTTTTTATAGTGAAAATCGTTTTAATCCTAATCTGTCACAAATATATTTCTGTAAAAATAATGATGATGATGATGATAATAATAATAATAATAATAACCTCCTGCTCGTTTCTTTAAGCACGCAGTTGCATAATTGTCTCCTCATATTTGTCAAATGTGATTTTTCTATGAACTGTTAATAAAAATAATAATTTATAAAGAGCTTTGTTGTTATTATTCTCTATAAAATGCTACATTTGAGCCAAATGATACTTTTAATGGTTTAATACTCAAGTATCACATAAAATACAATTGAAAAACTACCTGAAGCAAACTGTTTGCACTTTTTTGTTACTTTTCAGTGTTGCCACCCGCCTTGTAGCTAATTTAGACAAACTTCAAGCAAAGTCCAAACAACTGTCCATCGTGGTTGATTTGTAAGTTTATTTACCCGCCATTATTGTGTCCGGCTAACGTCTGGGTTCAATTCTAAGATCCAAAATTAGACCGTAAATATGCAATAAATAAAGCCAGTTCATTTTGGAATGTAATAAATTCTAGGCGCTTATTAACCATGGAATAATGTTTTCTCTCTCTGTTGCACAGAGACGCTGCCATCTTGGATCACTGACAGGCTGTCCCTGATTTCATCTCTGCGTTCTTGTCTGGTGTCTGCTTAATGTTCCTTCCTGCAGGATTTTGTTAGGCCTTTTCCGTTGTACATTTGAGCAGGTTTTCTTTCTTCCTGCCAGACCCTAACTTGCAGAATTGGTCACACCTGAGTTACATTCTGTTGGTTAGCCCTGGCACTATAGGCTCCTTTGTTTCCTTCATTTTCAGTGTAATTGTTGTGTTCTGTTTCTTCTTGGTTTAACAAACTAACTTGAAAGGAAATATTGCTGTTCTCCGGTCATTAAATCTACATTTTGGTCTTTTATTTTCCCCTCATGACAGACAGTGAGGACAATGCACATTTGGGATAAAAATAACTGTAATTACCATTTTTAGTTGACTTTTGTTAGCCTGAGTACCTACAGTGTACTGAGCATGCATGCTCTGCATAAAATGAGCTGTTCACATATCAACCTGAAACCTTCTTGCTGGGATGAATATAAGTAACCAGACCAAAACAGCTGAAGGAAAATACTATTACCTGCATCTTTTCACAATAAACACCATACCTTGCTGAAGTCCACAGAACTGTTCTCTCTGCTGATGTCTCCTTTGCCATCTGGAGCCGCTAACTGAGATTGGGAGGCCGTCAACTGACCTGAAGAAGAAGAAGAAGAAAAGTAACACAAGAGATCAGGTGTTTTACACATTTTTATGCATCAACAAGTAATGTGGAAACAGCTGTTTGTTGAAAATTTAAAAATAAAGCCTAGACCCTTAAATGTATTGAATGGTGGAGAATATATTTGCAATATTAGTAATAAATTAAAAACTTCTATCCAATTTCTGCTGCTTATCTGCTGTAGATTTGCAGAGGCAACGGGTCCATGGGACACCTCTCTTCAGCAACACCCCAGCTATTAATCCCAAGACTTCCCAGGTCAGAGGGAATTCATCATTTTTCTAGCAAGATCTGGGTCTGCCCCCGAGTCTCTATAGTGGAAAACTCTCAGAGAATAGCTCCCAGACGCCATCATATTCAGATGCCCAAACCACCTCAGCTGACTCTGAGGAGCAGCAGCTCTACTTTGAGCTCCCCCTCCTTGGTTGATGGCACTCTTTATTTTTGCTCTAAAGCTAAGCCTGGCCCCCCTGCAAAGGAAGTCCATTCTAGCTGCTTGAGTCTCATTATTCAGGTCTTGACCCACACCTCATTACTATATGTGAGGATTAGAATGTAAAAAGTCCAATACATTGAGAGAGTTGCCTTCAGTTCAGCTCTTTCTTCACTACAACAGACCAGGTCAACGCCCTCATTACTGTGGACGAGCACCCAGTCCACTGATCCATCTCCTATGTCCATCTCTCAGGAACAAGACTCCTAGATACTGGGAGTCTTGAGGTAGAAATTACTTCTGGCAGGGGGTAAAATACCAAACACCTATGTCAAAAATATTTATTCACCAATAAAAGTTTAAAATATTAAAATCTATAAAAATAATCAAAATAGCTGCATCTTAAACCTTTTTCCCTCACTAGCTCTAACGAGGCGCACGCATTTCTCCCCGCTCCCTGTTCTCCTCCTGCTTTTTTGCTCTCTGTCTGTGTATCAGAGCAGCTCCTATTTTTACACATCTTCCGAAATGAAAACCACTGTTTGGGATCTGGCCAAAACTGGTCTTTCGATGTAAATTACAAAATTTTTTCAACAAAGTGACAGGGTCCTGGAGAACCCTCATCTGCTCGAACGAGACGCATGCAGCTGGATAAATCGCTTGGGGGGGGGGGGGGGGGGGGGGGGGTGCCCCTGCGTTGTTTTGTGTCTACCTCTGCTATTGATCGAGGACACCGACATTCCATATAATTGGATATATGATAACAGGTTTCCTGTTTTTGGAATAGCCTGGATCCTGGTTTATCAACATAGAAAGAAGATGGCCACAGCTAATTTGGCCCTTGTCAGGCTGCTGCCTATGTGAATGTTGGTTTGTGCTTTGAGGACTCAAAATCAGCTGATTTCCGAGCTAAACTGTACGATGGAAGTGATTTGAATTGCAGTCCACCTGCGGCTTTGGGACTCGACAACATGAAAATGACCTTGAGGAGGCTTGTAAGCACGGACCAGTAGAATGCACCCTAATCTGGCCATTTCAGACCTTGGAAAGTTATCAGTACAGACTCGAGGCTGACATATGAAAAATTGTCTGACTGAATAAACCAACAATTGTGATTATCTGAATCTGTCTCCCGGCTGGCCTCGAACAGGCCGACTTAACAATTTCTCCTGGGAAATATGTGAACTAAGGAAAAGCTTTGTCTATTGCAACCCCCCTCCCCTTCTGTGGAGGCTTGTCAGAACTGTGCTGGCTGACCATCAGAACAATGGTCTATCTGTTAGTGCTTCATGGACCGCCTCGTTTTAAATGCATATGTAATGTGTTCATAAATGTGCTGCTGGCCGAGTTTTTTGGTGTCTTAAATCGTGTCCTGTTAGGACAAGGTGTGAAGAGATGTTTTTTGTAATGCCACTACCCTTTCCTCGTGGCTTTGTCTCTTTTTCTATCTAAAAAATGTAATCTGAAAAGAATAAGAAGGCTGCGCTATATAGCAGCAGCTTTGTGCACTCCGTCCATCTTTCGGACGGTTGTACGTATATGTTCTCGTTGCATCTCGGTGCAATGATAATAAAGCTTATTCTGATTCTCTGATTCCGATTCTAATAAATAACAACATAGCAATATATATTAAAAAGTAGATAATTTCCTGAGAGGTCTGGTCTAATTTCAGTATTCAATAAGCCAAGCAGTGAACAGTTAGCTTTTATTGTTATCTTTAAAATACCTGGAGCAGACGACACACAGTTTTCTGGGATTGTGTCGTCAGCATTAGGTGAATTTCACTGAAAAAATAAAGAGCGAGCAATGGCTATAAAACAGGAATTGGCACAGACAAACAGAGTTACAATGTAATTATTCCAGTTGAATGCCTCTCACTGAATTCAGCTAATTCCATTTCTCTTTCTCAAAACAGTTAACACTTTTCCACACTTTTTAAAAATTCATTAGATTCAACATAACCACAAAACACCCTGCCACACACTACTCTCTACATTTTTTATGAACCTTTGAAAGTGGGCAAACTGAGCTGTATGTCTGGGGCTTTAGGAGTAGTGTGAGAAAATCACCAGAAGTGAAAATAAGAAAACCCACAAAACTGAAATATTTGAAGTGAAGACCACTGGTACATAGAAAGTAAAATCCAGAAGTGAATACAATTTGTATATAAAGCATATTTAGATTAGGAATGAGATCATCAGAGGTACAGCACAGGTTGAACAACTGGGAGATAAAGTTAGACAGGCCAGACTGAGATGGTTTGGACATGTCCATAGGAGGGACAGTGGGTATACTGGTAGAAGGATGTTAGAAATGCAACTGCCAGGAAAAAAGACGAAGAGGAGATATATGGATGCAGTTAGAGAGGACAGAGATGGAGGAGGATGACTTGCTTTGGTAACCCCCAGAAAGGAAAAAGTTGAAAGAAGGAGATGATAAAGAAAACATAAAACACATTTACATTTTATATGTACAATTTATCCACACTTACACAATGGGGATCAGACAAAGCACTGGTTTTCAACAAAGTCCTGACACAACTTACCAATAAATCAACAAGTCATTAACATACAGTTTAATGTGTTTAATCGTTTGCTAGTTAAAGTGTTTTCATTTACCTAAAAGTTCCCAACATTTGTATTTGCACAACTCTCAAGTTTCTCACCGTTCTTATCCAGATGGAGTTCTGACGCCCGTCGGCCCATGTCAGCAATGGATCGTACGATCGGCAGGCGATTAGCCAACTTCTTCTGGTTCTGGTGATGGTGCTGCTTCAGGAGCGTTTCGCGCACTTTTTGCCTGAGCTCTTCTCCCAGTGGTGAGTATACCTCTTGGTGGTCTAAGACCATGTCTAAGGTGGAAAAACCCAAACTGTAAGCCTGCATGTATCCAGATCTAACTGAGAATAGGACTTTATTAACAAATCAGGGCTACAAAGGTCAAGCAAAAGAAAGAACGCATGTATAGGTTGTGCAGAAAAAATCATTAGCAGGAGAAGTTTTCACTTAATAAAAACTGTTAAAACTTGACATTTACCTGCAATCTCCTCAATGCTGTTAGCCCTCATATCGAGCAGCACGGTGCTGTTGATGATGCAGCTGCGCAGCTCAAACAGACTGTGCAGGGACAGAGTGGCCACGTAGGGTTTACTCCACCGCTCACCTCCGTCCTCTACATCTTCCTCAAACTTCAGCCACCTATAAGAGGAGTTTGCATCGAGTGAGGCCAGCAGACGGCAAACTGGCCAGCCATCTGTTCTATATCTGCAGTTAGAAACACTCGTTCATTCTCAGGCCCTCACATGTAGCTCCCACAGCTCCTTTTCCCTCTCAGCTTCACTCATTTACTCTCCTTCCTTATTGCTTTTTATCAGAGTATCAATGTAAATAAAATATGTCATATTTATCATGTCAGCACAGTATGAACTGACTGATTTACCAGAGAAATATCAATTTAATGGCAAGAACCGCAATGAAAAACGACAAGTATTTCATATTATTATGAAACTAGAGTTCCTCAAAGAAACTCACATCACCCCCCATGTGTGCATAATAAAATTTCAAACTATGATCAGTGATCCTGAGCCTTGTTCTGCTGGAGGTTTCTTCCTGTTAAAAGGGAGTTTTTCCTTTCCACTGTTGCTTTTGTGCTTGCTCAGGATGGGAGACTGCGACGAAGTGACGTTTCAACGCGTCTACTGGCTTCCTTCATTAGAGAGATAACTTTTACTAACTGGCTTTGTACATATGTGAATGTTTCTGTTCAGTGCCCTGAGACAACTTCTGTTGTGATTTGGTACTTTATAAATAAACTGAATTTAATGGAATTGAAATTGATGTTTTTTTAAACAAGTAAATGGTTACTATCGCAACAGATTTTAGCTCAGTGTCTGTAAAATTCACCGAGTTATAGTCATTTTATGTGTTTGCTGAGGTCAGTTTGCTTTAGTGGCCATTTCAAATCAGGTTGACTTCCAAAGTGAAACACTTGTAGAAATTACTTTCTTAACTGGTTCATGAAATATTTTGCCTGCAGACGGGGTTGATGCCAATAGTTGACAAAGTTTTTAACAAAGACCTCATGCAATCTGTTTGCATTTGGAGCAAGTGTTGGACATCATTCTCAGCTACTACCACATCGAACTTTAGTTCAATATCTGAGAAATCAACTTGATTAGACATTTTTTGTGTTTGCTAAGATGGATTAGCTGTGGGAGCCATCTTGAATCGGGTTGACTCTGAACAGTTGTAATTAACAACCAATGATCAATTTTTGAGAGTTTCACTAAAATCCCTCAGATGGGTCTTAAGATATTTTTCTAACAAAGAGATTAACATGCACATACAGTCACAGATGCATGCAGTTACATAATCACCCACCAACATGAACAATGGGCTCTGAAACATGAAACAACTGTCGACATTTCTCATCTCTGTAAGTGGAATCATGGCTTTGACCTGTTTTTTTCTATTAAAGCTGCAGTTGATGGCATGATTATTGTGTGTTGATGATACTTGGTTGCATGAGGATTAACAGTACCTGGCACTTTCTCTCCACTCAGAGTCCTCTCCATCTCGCACACCGATCTCATCCATCTGAGTGAAGAGGTCATGGGGGATGTGCTCCTCGTCATCATCTTCTGCCCCCAGCAGGAACTGCACCCTCTGAGAGGGGGTGTCTGTGAGGGTTTGCGTTAGATATTTTAAATGAATTGACTCAAATAACGTGAACTAATGGAATGGTAGGTTTTACCATAAACTGGTGACTCTCTACCCTCAACCAAAGGGAGGCTCTGCTGCCTGCTCCTCCTCCACTGTTTCTTTCCATGGTGGCGGTGCCTGTGTTGGCTGCGGTGCCGAGTACTGCCTAAGGGGACGTGAACCCCAATGTAGAGAGTCCTGTGGCCTGGGTGCAAATCCCACATGATTAAATGATGAGCAACAACAGCTGATGTTTACTTGTGTTTGTTACTCCAGGTTTTTTTTTAACAATCAGAGAAATAATGCACATGATAATATGATGTTAACTGTTGCCCTTTAATATTAGGCATTCCCATTTCTCTGTGGCTAAAAGGTGTGAATTATAAATGTTTTTGAACGATACAGCGAAATATATGTTCACAAAGTATTACACAACGAGTTTATGTTCATGTCCCCTTGACCACACACATAAAATCAAATCAGTGTACTTGTTGATAAAGAAAATTTAAAACTGAAGCAAACTGAACGACATTTGGACTTGAGTTAGAAACAGATGCAGGGATGCCTCCAAAAAGTTTTCAAAGGGGGTGGCCAGATGGATGCCACTGGTTTTAAGGTGGCTCACCTAAACCAAAAGCTGTAATTTCAAGAGTTTTAACATGCTGTTATCATATATAGGCTATTAAAAATACACAATGAGGGCGTTAGGAAAGTGTCTTGTGGTTGAGGTTGAGAAATTATAGTAAAGTTGTGTCTCAGTTGAAGTTGTCCTTAATAAATGCACTATGACGGTCAAATCAGTTGCATTTCAAAACCCGACTTGCGGAAGCAGGAGCGCGCCAAGGGATGAGCCGCTGTGCATTTCTTCTAAATTTAACAAGATAACCACCTAAAAACTATTATTTGTTTGCTCAAAATCATAACAAAGGTGTGTCCCAGTTGAACTTTTACTTAATAAAAGGACTTTAACGGTCAAATTAGCTGCATTTCGTCGGGGCGGTGCAGCGAAATGAAGCTGAATTGATGGTTGAGCCAAGCGAGCTGGACGAAGGTGGCAGGCTATGGCAAGCCGATTGCGTCATTAATAGCCACTTTTACCAACTACATCACACAACGGCATGCCATACTACTCGATTGCCATCTAGCGGCTGAAAATGGTAGTGTTCAATATTTTCAGTCAGAACAAATGACAACGGTCATATCTCAGCCAAAATTGCTTTATTATTCATTATAAAATTGAATGTTATATTATTATATAATTTATTTATGTGAAAAAATCCATAAAAAAGTTTATTTCAGCGTATAAGTTGCATGGCATGCAAATTATGCAAAAAACTGTAACTTATAGGCTGAAAAATATAGTATATATTTTTGAGTATGTGATCTTTTTGATTTAATTAAAAATGATTATGTAGCAACCGGACCCCAAAGCAAATTCCTTGTTTGTGCAAATGTGCACGGCAAGAAACAATTCTGATTCTGTATTTGATTCTGATTGGGACATGCATGTCCTACATCCATCAAAGGGTGCTGCAGAAACCTTCACACCCTTCCTTCCCACAGCCCAGAGTTCAAAAGAGCTCTTGAGGAGGAAAAATAATTGTGAGAAGGTTTCTGTTTGCAGGTTTCTGTGCAATATGTTCCTAATTTGACACTTGTTGGACACTATTCTCTGTTTTTCCACAATCATTTTATTCTACTGCTTCTTCTCAATATCTGGCATTGTTTTTATTTTTTCTTTCTCTGAGTGATTGTGGAATTAGTAATGCACTCTAACACTCACCCACAGCTCTACCCTCCTACTCTGCTCTTATCTTTTACCAGTTTTAAAAAAAAGGCTGTCAAGAGGAAAGCAGTAGTTGTTAGGACAGAGTGGGTGGACTCTGCAGCAGCAGCAATTACTCGCTGCTCGATGCTTGTTGGTACCTTCCAAATCCTCCTGCTCAAAGTTGGTTCTCTGTTGGGACCGTGTTCCTCCCCGGTCCACCACCGCCTCATCGTCATTCCTCTGTTAAGCACACATACGACAAAAAGAAACATGTTTTAAATGTTGACTCACAGTTTGGTGTAAGCTGCAGTTTTCTAACGCAGCTTGAAAATGGTATAAAATCTTTGTTGACTTGGTGTTCCCTCACAGTCCAGGGCATTGTGAACAAACACATTATACCCACTGAATAGCACAGTTGCCTTGGAAACTAATTACACGTCTTTTTATTCAGAAGGAAAAAGGTTCATGACTGTTCAAACAAAATGCTTGTTATAATCGGAGGGTTATGAATCCCTCCCACAAAGAACGTTTTCTATTCAAGATGCTCACCTTGTGATGGGTTCTGTTAAAGGACCAGACATCAAATTATCTGAAAATGTCAAACAAGCTTGTGTTTGGGTTTTCTGAGGATGCTCTGTAGGAAAGAAACCTGACAGCCACGTGTATATCTGAAGAAGCTAAACATACTTAAAGCAGTAGTTCTGCCATTGTGAGGTAGGATTCTGTGAAAATGGTATAAACTTATCTTTCCATTTATAGATAGCTTTTTGAACGACCTCACTTTATAAAGAGTATTAAAGTTTGGCATGACAGACAAGTTAACAGCTAATAGTCTGAACTCCACCAAGACGGTGAGAGTGGATTGCTGCTCTCGTGAAATAACGTTCTTTAAAATTTAATAGCAGCAGTTCACACAAATGCTGTTTCATAAACCTTTACACCACTGTAAACTTTGAGTTGCATGGTTATTTACTAGATCTGTATGTTTTATGCAAACACAACAGCAGTGGCAAATAACTAGCAAATTTGCTGCAACCTGGGGTCATTTTCAGCAGAAATGTTAAAATATTTTTGCTAAAATGACAACGTAATGCAAAACTGAAAGCAATTAATTAAATTAAAACATTTGAGCCAATGAAACGTCCAAGATTGGAGTTGCTTCAAGATATTAACCTTGAGAATTGCTCTTAAAACAATAAATATTTTTTCTAAATTCCATAGTATTGCATACAGAAGCTATTATTTAAACATGCACACCTCATCATTAGCTGGTCAGTCCAGAAAGATTTAAATTAATTAAAAAAAAAAACTGAACACATTCAAGGAACTGTGTCAATGATTCATAACTTTTCCACAGAACTGTACAGCAAAATGAACAAAATACATCTTTAAGTTTTAGTGTATATCTTTTTAACATAATAAATTATTTCTTACACTATCATTCTTAATACTATTTTTTAATATTTCAACCATAAAGCATCTGTAATTTAAATTTTAATTATTTAACCTTGATGTAGCATAGATTATAAGAGGTCAAAACATTTAAAAACTGTCATTAAGTGCAAAAAAGAACTTATAAAATGTTATTAAAAGGACATTTTTCTTTAGACCTGGTCCAAAAAGAGGAAAATAGTTGTCAGTTAGTTTAGTTCATGATCAGTGTGTAAACTCTAAAAACAAATATTGGCTAAAGGTGATTTTACAGTCATTAATCAAAAGCAATAAAGTTCCTTTTGACGGCACCCTTCGGAGGTTCTTGTGAGCAAAGTCAACGTCAGGATTACAAACCGCAGCTCTGACCACCACAGCTTCGTTAAACAGTTTGTATTAAACATGTACATGTCTCCTTCTGCACATGATGAAATCTTAATGATGTCTCTGAGACTCATTCTGGTCAAGTTTCTGATATTTTATTAAATGATCAGTCTTCTGCTTCTAACTTGATGTTAAACAACTATAGATTAAACATGTATATTTAAAGTAACATAAACTGCTAGTGCGTGGGTCAGTAAAACGTGTTTGCAACTTTGTCACTGCGGAGGTGTAGCTTTCAGCAGTGACTTTAATGAAAGTCGTTGAAACGAGCTCAGTAACAAAAGCATGGATCCCCTCTGAGAAATTTACAACCACAAAAGAGTACTGAGACGAGACTTTCTGAGCATGTCCTGTTCTCCTGAACAAAATGACTTTGTCCAAAAATGATCTCACTACTTAATACGATCTGAGATGATACCAGCAGTTTCTGCAGTGACCATCAGTCAGTTTATGTAACACCTGTGAAAGGAGACGAGGGCGAGGAGGTGCTGAATTTGGTACAAAAAAACAGAAGATATCACCGTGTTTCATCTAACAGATGGTGAAAGGGTGTAAACATCTGCTCGTGCTCGTTTCATTAAAAATGTTCATATTGGTTTAGAGGCGTTTAAATCCTAATAAAGAGATGAATTCAGCATGAACACTCAGAGCTAAAGTGCGCAGCCTCATGCTAATGAGGGACTCAGGTGGTACAAAGGTGACATAACCAGTGTACTAGAAGGAGGGTCTTTAATTTCAGCACAGTTTGTCTCTACATTTGGACTTGATACAACAAATTCACAAAATTAGGATTTGAACCATATTTTTCAAATGTGGTCATGAGACTGTCAAAAAAAAAAAAGATATAAATAGATGCAATCGATTGTAAAATAATGAGAAAATTTACTTTCTACAATAAAATGATGGGGAAATTGCAAAATAAATAATTTAATTAAAGTTGCATAAAGATATGTTTTGAATTCTTCACAATATTTTGAAAAAATGGCTGCATCATCAAAAAAAAAAAATCACAATAAACAGTCATTTAGGGGAATTTTACTCATGCGCTCATTTGTATGACAATAAAGTGGGAGCTGATGATGCACCATTACAACCATTACCTGTTGGTTCAAGAGAAAAATAATATATTACAAGACGTGGGGTTGAGTCTATCCAAGGAAGTGATTTTGGATCAAAACTTGAATTTTAAGAACTAAGCAGTTGGGATTCTAATCTGATGTGAATTGTTACAACACGTGTGGTGATTACTAACACAAACCAGAGGGAGTTTAAACAGCTGGAACCAGTGATCACTGGGACTAGAATTTCAACAGAACATAAACTCAACATAGAACTCAATCAGAGTGCAACATGAAACAAAAGCAGCACCCAAATTATTACAAACTGTGACAATCATCCAACACTTTTGATGCTCTATTGTGATTTATCCATTAACTGAATGGACTGAAACATTTTAAAAGCTGTGATAAAAACCAGTAGAAGCTAACGTTGCCTGTGTATTTTTGTCCTCCAGATGTTTAAGATAAAAGCTGCCAACTGCTTGCTTTGTGTTAATTCTCTGTTTATACAGAAACTGCCAGGGCTCTGACTTGAGCTGTTACCTCAATTATAGTTTATTTTAATGTAAATGCTACTGATCTATAATTGTTATTTATAAATGGTCAAGACCTATTTAACTCATGGAAAATTACAGATTATGTTGCCAAAGGAAAATTATTTTACATCCATTTTATACGCCTTAATTGAAGCCCAATTCTTGAATTAAACACCTTGCAAAGGTAAAAAAAAAACCAACTATCACCTTTGAAAAACTATTATTATCGACTACTAACATCTTGTTTGCTTAATCAGTACCAACGCCAAAGTGTTAACACAACAATCAATGGGTTTGTTTTTGCTGTTTATTCACGAGGTACAGATGTGTTAAATTTAGTCGTAAACAAACCTAAACACCTATAATTACATTTTACACTTGATGCTTCTTACTAATGAACTTTAAAAGGATGGACGTAGAAAGAAAATCCCTCAGTGCTACAAACTTTTATTGATCTGAAAAATGCAATCAACATGTAAGAGCTGTGCTGAATTAAAATCATAAAGATATTTGACTTTGTTTTTTATTCTTTCAGCAGCTCCCTTTGTCCCGGGTCACCACAGCAAACTAAGTCCAGCTTCGGAGCCTGAGCCCGAACCTGCAGGTGGGCCAGGAACTGAACCACGATGGCATGACATGGTGACATGGTGACATGGTGACATGGTGACATGGTGGCAAGGCAGCGACACAGAAAACTCTGAACGTGTGTCGTGGTCATACTCTTTGCGTGGGTGTGCAGTGTAGACGCAAAAAAAAGTTCAAACAAGAACAACAGGAGCAAAAAAAGATTGAGTCGAAGCAGAGCTCCCGTCAGTGCGGCCATGCTGCGGCGCTCGTGACGTCACTTCTGCTGAGCTGCTGTCTTTCAGTAACTGAGGCCTCCTGAAGAGTTGAGCTGAACAGCCCGGCTTTAGAGAGTGGAATAAAGTTTATTCCATTTCCAAATCCTAAACTGAGTCTGGAAGAATGTAAAAGATGATAAAGCCCTGCGACCTCATGAGCAGCTGAATACAACAGTGATAAGCACCATGTTGTTCAAGCCTAGAGCTATTGTCAGCACTGGGGGCTAAGCACCCCTTAAGGTCAGCTTCTAGAATCGCCTCTGGACATTAATCTGTAATTTTGAGCCATAATTGTCTGTAAACAGTGATTTTGACATCATGACCAACAGTAAATCGATTCAGTCTCAGCTGCTGTGGAAATATGTGGGAAAAGTACAACCAAATGTATTGCCCCCCGCCCCGGCCCCAAGATGACACAGTTATGTTGTACATTAATAAACAAATATGTCTGGCTTAGAGAGTCACACTATTTTTTGGTTGTTGTTTTAGTGTGTTGGCAGAGTCTGGGTGAATTTTGTTTAATTGGGCAAATCAAACTACTTTCCTTGTTTATTTTATCTTAGATATTCTCAGATTTTTTTTTTAAATCCAGACTATATTAATGAATATTATCAGTAAAACTAAAATGATTCTTGTAAAACTGTGTTTGATACTCGAGTCAGTCTTAAACAATGCAAATAAATGAAATTGGTAATATCTCCTTTATGTATGCAACAATGGTAAAAAAAAATAATAATAATAATTGATTGGATGTTTCAGTTATAAGTTGTTTTAAATATATTACTTATATTTTAAGTGGTTTAAATATTTTATATCATTTACTATATTATTATATATTAATATTTGATGACAGCCACTGGTGTTTACTCATCTGTAGATTCCTAGGGTTGTATTTGTGGGTGATTGTTTCTTCTTTTACTTGTAGTCTGTTTCTTTTACGTGCTGTGAAACAAAATTCCCTTTGAAGATGCTGTATGTGAATACATCTAAAGTTAAGCTGAAGTATTATCAAACCTGGAAAAGGATTCATTGAGTCATTCAATGGGTGATTTAAAAATAGAACAATCAATCTGGTGAAAAAAAAGATATTGTTACTTTTTAAAGCAAAAAATGTTGACAAATTTTATATGTTTCTTTCTAATTGTTAGATTTACATGCAAATATCAAACCTAAATCCAGTGTGTTTTATGTCATGCAAACATATTTCTATTTATTGCCTTTCTTATCCTAAAAGCCGTGTTAATTTCTGCTTTTTCTGGAGTCATCTTGGCCACCAATGAACCATCGAGGCATTATTATAATGAAGGAAACTGCTGCTCACAGCTGCAGAACCACATGAGTTGGCCCAGCTACAATTATGTTGATAATCTGTCTGCAGGAAATGGATCTCTGCTCAGATTAAAGCGCCAGTAGTTGATACTTAAATACCATTTACACTAGCCGGTATTAAACATCCGCTGCGTTTCCATGCAATTGATAATGCAGTATTAACATACAGTACTTTTACCGGATATTCTCTACTCTGAAAGATTCCAGGAAATGCTTTCAATGCGCCATAATCAGTCAAATACTCTGAAAACTCAAAAGCATATTTCATGGTAATTTCCATCACACACACCTATAAAGCGTTGATGTGAAGTCTAAAGAGGCTTAGCGAGCGCTGCGTTATCTTCCGTCTGCTTTCTGACTTCTCGAGCACAAACAAAAGGTACAAAATTTATATATTTTTTTAATTATTGAACTGTTCACCCGCACTGCTTCGTTTAAGACAAATGATCAGCTTTTACTCAGGAAAATCACACTAAAAGGACTCACAAAGCACACAGCTGACATGATATCTCAGGATGTGGCACAAACTTGGATCTGATCCCTACAGATGGCGGTGGTAATTTTGAAACCATCAGTGGCGGTGGAGGCTTTCAACTGAAACAAAATGTACTGTAATCCTTAAATGATTCTGCTTTAGCATTCAACATCCTGAGAGAGTACACATTAGTACTAACCTACAATCAAAAGTCCTATTTCTATTTTTTTTTTTTTATTTATTACTTTTAGCTGCTATTCAAGGGGTTTTTCATCTCTGAGCCGTCATTAAGACCGACTTCTGTTCTGCTTCCCTCCCCCACACTGCAAAATGGTATTACTCATGTTCCTTTTTTATTTTTTAGGCGCTGGATTGCTCCTAAAAAGCCGCAGAATTCAACTATGTACCTTTAAATCCCACACATTCAGGCTTGAGAGCTGTGCTTCATGCAAGCCTGTGCACAATAAATGCCACATTACACAAATTCAACATACCTGATTGTTGAAGCTCCAAGGAACCTGCAAGGTCTCCGAATGCATGAGCTCTCAGTCTGCGTCCTCTTCTCTAAAATCGGTTCACGGCGAATGTGACACTGTCTAAAAGCTGAGCTATGAGCAAACTCCTGCTGCCCTGCTTCACACCATGTCTGATCAAGGCTGATGCCCATCTGTTGTGTCAAACCACTGGAATTTGTGATTGAGCATCCAAAAAACAGTTTCACCGCTCTCTGAATGTGAGATTATAGATTATATTGCAGCCCTGCAGCGTTTTATCAGAAATGAAGCTTGGTTTAAATAGTCTCCTCTCTGTGTCGCATGCACAAAAAGCAGAGCCACAGATAAGCTCGAGCTGCATCAAATCAACTCGGTCATGCCAAACTCAGTGTTTTGCTGATCCCACCGTGAGTCATCGCTTTTCATACTGTGCAATCTTTGAAGCATGGCAGAAAACACAGGTCTCAGTATGACGTGAAACATGTTCTGCAGCTAAAGATCAGGGAAAGAAGATCTCAACTCACCGAGCTTCTTCATCCAAAAGATGAAGCACATACAGAGTTTATCTAAATAAATAAATAAATAAATCTTGAGCTGAACTTTGTCAAACAAAGGGAAACGTGTGAATATTTTAATGTATTTTTTTTAAAAACTTCAAGAAGACATCTAAAAAAATCAATTAAGTTTATTTGGTCTAAGAAAGGAAATAGATTTAATTAGCTTCATTGTGTCATCTGGTTCCACTAAATCTGGTTGTTTAAAGAAAAAGGTAAGAATTACACGAAAATAGTTCATGAACCGTGATGAATTCATAAGATTTGTGAGTTTCTCGGGAGCACACAGACCAAAATAGCTTCAAGTTTATTAAACTAGTGGCCCACTAATGCAGACATTCTTGTACAATAAGCACCTTGGGTCAGTTTTTATTCAATAAAAGGAATATATATTTTAGGCAAACTAGTAAAGTTAATTTAATTAGCATCATTTGGTTGTTTTATTAACTCATTACTGCTTGAATACAACAAAACTGGTTCATAATGACTGTTAAAATGAATTAAAAGCATAAAATTTGACAAAAGATTAATGTGAGGTTCAAAAACACCAAAATTTAGTATTTTATAATGAAGAATTACAACAAAAGTCATCTCAGGGCACCGTACACAAAGAAGGAACAAGTCCATCAACAATATGCAATCTAATTCAGTCCAAACTAGACTCAGTAGACAATTAATCCTACTCTATTACACAACAATCCAATTAGGTATTATACAAAAACCTTCTGTGCAGTGGAAGATTTTATGCTCAAAGTCTGATAGAAACATTCCCAGACATTTGAGGTCCCTCAGATTTATAAAAACAAAGCTTTAAAATTAACTTTACAAAATTGTACATGTTCAACTTTTATTCCTGCAACAAGGAAGAAAAAAAACTTCTGTTTGGATACAACCAGCGGGAGACAACAGCTAATCTTATCAACATCAGTAACTCTGAATGTTTCCCTCCTTAACGCTGACACATTGTCCAGTTTTAAGACTGGGTTCAAGATTTTTCTTTTTGATAAATCCTATAGTTAGGGTTGGCTTGGGTTTCCTGAGCGATCCCTTAGTTATGCTGCTATAGGCTAAGACAGCTGGAGGACAAACTGACCACACTTTTTTCACTCTGCTACTGTCTTTGCTTACTCTGCTCCACCTGTTTTGTATTTGTATTCATCCTTTTTCTGTCCTTGACATGTGTTTTTGTCTTTCAGGTTCACCTGCACCTACATTTGGACCTGCCAATCTGTGTTTGTTTGTCTCTCCTTCTTGTCCTCTCAGACCCAGCTGGTCAAAGCAGATGGCCACTTGTCCTGAGCCTGGTTCTGCTGGAGGTTTATTCCTGTTAAAAGGGAGTTTTTCCTTTCCACTCTTGCCTTTGTGCTTGCTCAGGATGGGAGACTGTGACCAAGTGAAGATTCAACGAGTCTGCTGGCTTCCTTAGATAGAGAACTTTACTAATTGGTTTATCTATGTATGTAAATGTTTCTGTAAAGTACCCTGAGACAACTTTGTTGTAAATTGGCGCTATATACATAAACTGAATTGAAACTGAAGTGAGAATATCAAAATCTAAACTTTTTTTTCCAGTGTAAGGATTGCAGCAACTTGACATGATCTAAAATATTATGAGTAGGTCCTGAGTCATGGCATCTCTACAGCTGTCCTTGAAGCATGCTCAATAAATGGATGGTAAATGGACTGTACTTATGTAGCGCCTTTCTGTTTTATCAAGAAACTCAAAGCACTTTACACTACAATCTGTGTCCTCATTTACACATTCATACAGCACTCTACTAGATCTCTACAAAGCTAATTGAACAAATCATCCATCCATTATCTTTTACGCTCTTCTTCCATTTTGGGTCACGGGGGTCGCCGGTGCACATGTCCAGCAATCACAGTGTGAGGGACATCCTGGACAGATCTCCAGTCCATCACAGGGACACATAGAGACAAACGAGACAAACAACCATTCACTCTCTCACTCACACCTAGGGACAATTTAGAGTTACCAGTCAGCCTAACATGCATGTTTTTGGTCTGTGGGAGGAAACTGGAGTACCTGGAGAAAACCACATGCACAGAGAGAACATGCAATCTCCAGCTAGAAAGTGCCCCCAGACCAGGATTTGAACCAGAGTAACCTGCTCGTTGAGAGGCAGCAGCGCTACCAGTTGTGCCACCGGACTGCCAGGTGCTAAATAATTCAAAATAACTTATTTTACATAAAAATTTCATGTTGATCCTGCAGCTCATCCATCAAACAGCCAATTGTGTGTCATGTCTAATCTTATTTTGAAAAACCGTGATAGAGCGAGTCCGCGACAAACGAACTGCGAAGTAGCGAGGGACGAATGTAGTATCGAATGAAAACTATTCAATTTTAGCAAATCAATTAAGGAAATTACGTCAATTTGTCTCCAGTAGTCTAAGCTTAAAACAGCATGTGAAGCCAACACTAACTATAGGATGTATCAAAAAGGAAAGTCTTAATCCCAGTCACAAAACTGGACAATGTGTCAGCCTCATGGACAGAAACTGGAAGTTGGTTCCACAAGAGAGGAGCCTGATAACTGAAAGATCTTCCTCACATTCTGCTTTTGGAAACTCTATGGACCACAAGTAAGCCTTACAAGCAACCTTTATTTATACAAGTTAATCCCATTGAGCCTCGGGGACTCATTTACAAGAGAGACCTGAATTTTAACAAAGAGTGATGACAACAAAGACAACAATAGACAATCATAAAGGATAAGTACAGTTTTTTTTAAGTGAACATAAAATGGTAATTAAAAGGATAATCAAAAGGAAAGGTAGCGAAAAACAGTTACATTGTAAGGCGGTGTAGAAAACTAAAAACAGGAACATGTCTGCATGGGTTGTTGCCAGGAACTTAACAGATGTTTGAAACCACTAAGAAAGGTCAAGGTCGAGAGCTTCAGATATTTTTGAAAGATATTTCAGGAAACAGGAGCGGAGTAGGAGAAGGCCCTTTTGCCTAGTTCAGTCCGCACTGAGGGAACACTGCAGGTAATAATGTCCTGAGAGCGCACGCTGTAGCTGCACTCATGCAGAGACATGTAGGAGGAGATGTATGAAGGCAGCAGACCAAGAACCAAAAAAGTCCATGCCCAATAATCCAGGAATACAACAGACCAAGAAGTTTAAATGTGAAAATGTGCCAGTGAGAGAGTCTGCATGAAGTTAATGATGGCCAGTTAACCAGTGAATACTGGGTGCAATGAAAGCCTGCAGTCTGAGAGTGAAGTGGGAAAATATGGAACAATAAGATCTTGACTATAAGAAGGAGCTAGGCTGTTGAGAGCTTTGTAGGTTAGAAGTAAGATTTTGAATTCAATTCTGGATTTGACAGGGAGCCACTGGAGAGAAGCTAAAACTGGCTCCCACTAACTCCAGTTAAGACTCTGGCAGCAGCATTTTGGATCAACTGAATAGGTTTTAAAGACGTATTTGGACACCCAGATAATAAACCATTGCAATAGTCCAGTCTAGACGTGACAAATGCATGAACCAGTTTTTCTGCATCATTTTTAGATAAGATGTTTCTAATTTTAGTGATAGTACGCAGGTGGAAGAAGGCAGTTCTAGTAAATAACTCAGAATTGAACCAAGGAGCTAATTTCCTCTGATTGATGACTTTATTTTTCAGCAGAGCAGCTTTATCGAGTGAAGTTTGCAAAGAAGTTGTAAAATGATCAACTAGATGATCTAAGTCAATGCTCTCTGATGTATTACTCTGCAAGACAGAGGAAAACGTTGAAAAAGAATCTTTAAATTTGGTTGCAGCGTTTTCTGATAAGCACCTGCTAAGGTGAAATTTACTCTCAGTAACTGTGTAGTCATTTAATGTAAACTCATAGATAATTAAAAATATGGGCAGACAGAAAAGGACTTTGAGGAAGTATTACTATTAATCTCTATGTCATAGGTCAGAACCAGGTCAAGAGTGTGATGATGAGAGTGAGTAGATGTTCGGACATTTTGGGTAAAACCAATTGATTGTTAAATTTTTAAAGGCTAAAATAATATATATTAATAAATATATAAAAATTAATATATAAAATAACACCTGTGTGATTCAAATGTACCATTTCATTGGATATTTGATAAAGTTACAGGCAAAGTCGTACTTTGCAAAGAGTTTACGAGCCCAGTAGCCTTGAGCCCCAAGGTTTAGAAGGAACCAAATTGTCCTGTTGTTATTAATGAGGTTTTCCAAACTCCTATACTTACTTATTTTCTATTAAGTGAAAGCCAACATCATTGGAAAGAGTATTAATTTTTTTCTTTTGTTTTTTTTTTAAAACTATACCTTAACTCTAATGACTTTAGTCATAAAAGAAAATTGTCCTCCATCGGGTGCTGGAGGAGTTTAAGTATCTCAGCACTTTGTTCACAAGCGAAAGGTGAATGGAGCGTGAGACTGACAGACAGATTGGTGAAGCTTGAGCAGTACTGCATACTTTGTGCTGGTCCGTTGTGGTGAAGTTGCTGAGTTGTGAGGCAAAGCTCTCTGTTTACC